CCCGCCTCACAAAGGCGCGGGAAGTGCTCGGTCGGTCGGTCGCTCGCTCGCTCACCTTCGGCATCGGGGCACGAGTTGTTCCGTCCGGGGCGAGTTTGGGCGCGTACTTTCAATACAAAAGACAGCGACAAAAACAAAAAAAAAACTAAAGAAAGAAACGCGTTGAGGATGGACGTGGGAGGAATAAACCAATTAAATGTTGTTGTTTTTTCGTTATTTAAGGTCGCATCAACTTCTAGGTCATTATCGACCAGTATTGCCAGTAACGGTTTGGTAAACTATGAGGATGACACTATACGATGATGATGGGGGTGAAATGACGAACACAATACCCGAGGCGGGCCTCGAACCCGCGACCCTTCGGTTCAAGATCGCTGCAGCACTACTGCCTTAGCGATCTCTGCCATCCGGACCGGCAATTAAATGTTGTTCTGACCACTGGAGGCAGAATGCTTAGGTTGCAAGGAAATGCCTCTAGAGCAGGTGTTCGCGAAGGAAACTGGTGTTCCTCAGTTAGGTAAGGAATGAAAAGGGTGAGGGAACAGTTAGTGAACACTAATGTATGTTGATGTGTGGTCTCATGTCGTACGGCACAGAGAAGTTTAGAGGTGCATAATAGAGAACGTTTCGGGATAGTTGTGTAATGTTATTAATGTATATAGTATATTTCGATTCGCGTGTTACTTATGGTTAGAATAAATATTGAATGTATGTGTTGTGCGCAAAGCGATGATTGACATGTTTCTTTTGCTCATGTAATAATACTATTAGTGGACTCTCATGCTGGTATGTGTTTAAGGTATTGTTTGCTTCATGCTATATTTTTTTATTGTGGGTTGATCTACATTCTATTGTGTTTTGATATATGGTTCCTTGTCGTGTGAAAAGTCTCTAACGGAAGGTGGGAGACCTTTGCTCTCAGGGATGTACGTGAGCTGAAAATAAATAAATGTAGTTTTAGATTAAAATTGGTTCCTGAGATATTTGTTTACCGTCTTGAGCGGTGTTGCCTCGAAACAATAAGGAGTTTGTGCCACCACGAACGTTAAAGCACTATCGATCTTCTGCGCATGCGCAGTTCAATTTTCGCACCACTTTAGTGCATCTGCGCATGCGCAGAAGATGGATAGTGCCGACGCTGTGGTGTGCATCAACTCCCTAAAGCCTCCACCACCTGCTTTCTTGTCCCTCTACTTCTACTTCGTCTGTCCACAGCTGTCCCTAGTCACGCCAGGCACGAGGGCTTTGGATTCCGATGCTCAACGTCGCGATAGCACCTTAGAGATTTCCAGGACATTACCTTAAACAACATTGCTTGCGCTCTTGACCTCAATGCTTACATACACTCGTATCAGATAAGCCAACTTTGCTATGCATGTCTTTCAACGAAATGGATTTGAGGAAGCCAATTGGAAGTGAGAAATGGTGAAAAGTGGAGACAAGTGTTAAGTATTTCTATTATCGCGTTGGATCGCGTGGAATTCCAGCCAGGTGTTTCGAGTACTCTTCTTTTTAGTGCAAATGTCAGAATAAATAAGTCAAGCATGAATTTCTAACGTTTCAAATAAAAGAAATATATTGTAAACAGTGCCCTGAATGAAAAAGTATGAAAATGCATACACCAAAAGATTGATATTCCAAATATTATCTAGAATTTTTCTATTTATTTGAGTTGACGAGTATCAGATCCTGTACTCTTGAGTAAGGACGTATTATTAATCATTTAATCATCTTGAAATGAGTACGGCAGATAGTATACGAGCAAACAATATGTTTCTTGTTTTCACTGCCATTGAGAAGTCTAAATAAGTCAGAAAACGATCCAATTCAACGATCCTGGCAACATTTTCTTTAGACCTTCTCATAATGTCCCATAATAATCCGCCCATATTCATTTTGAGATTTGTGGTTTACATCACAATGGGGAGACGTACGGTCATCGATAAATACATTGTAAACTTTTAAGTCAAGTAAATAAATTTTTAAGAACATCGTAACAATATTTGGTACGAAAAGTCAAGAACTAGTCAAAAAACCGCAAAAAGATCGCAAAGGAACCGCTAATATTAGCGCATGAAATTACGAGCCTGCCGCTTGCTCTCGGTGACTGAACTAGCCACAGAGTTTTGTATTCTATTACCGGTACTAAGCGCTCTCATTCATTGCTGTGTTCGAAAATCTCTGCTGTTTGGAGGTTCCCGCCATGACTGGCGAAGTGCCCCCAACTCCCAGTATGAACTTGTGAATGAAACGGTGCGGTGTTTGGGGGTCTTATGCACATGCTCGGCTTGTCACGTTCTGACGCATTTAAGGGAATTTCAAGCACCTGCCGAACATCTGTGCCTGCGACGCATCTGTACTGCGATCTGTGCACGTTGTGATCGAAATCCTGTAGTAAAACCGATGAATTCAAGAGCTACACCGTGAAGTATTCGAGCAACTCGTTACAACAATTAAGTAATTAAAAATTGACCCCAAGACGAAAATTGAAATTTTCATGAATTACCGATGGGAAGCTTCATTACGAGGTTGGTGTACCCCATATATGACCCTCTTCAGACGTTTTGGAGTGTTCCAATGGCATCTGTAGTGTGCGCATTGTTCCTAGAGCACGTAAATACTACAATCACGTTTCACAACGAAGATACCTCCGTGAAGCAAAATCGTAGTCGAATTCCTTCGCCGCTCCTCCCTCCGTTACGGACGCTC